TCTAGCATCATTTCAATGCGTAATCCTTAACATTTATTTATCAAAGATCTTTATGTATGATTATGTGTTTTGTGAAATAAAATTGCCCTATGTGTAAGCTAATGTTTCAGAATCTGTGCTCTTCATGGTGCCCAGTCATGTTTGAAAATTACAGTTATCTAGAATTCTTGTTCAGTCATTTACTATGTTTATTCAGAATTTTATAGATTAATTTTATAATTTTGTTTTGTGATTTCATAGTTCTTTACATTTTTTCCTCTATCCTTTTTTAACGTAGGCCACTTCACATTAGGCAATTATGTTTTTTAGTTTTTATGTGTATATTTTACTTTTGCATGATAGTATTGAACTCTGTATACTTTAACATATTGTGGGGCAAAAGTAAAATATAAATCAGCCATATATCTTTTGTGAATGTAATTTTCTTTGTGTTTCCTTGCCTATATAACTATTACTCCTATTTTGTTTATGAGTAGTACACTTTTTTCTTGGTGGGAAATGGTTATTTTACCCTTTTTAGGTGAATAGTCATGAAAATTATCTTAAATTCAACACATATTTATTGGTAAAGATATATTATCTTTGTGTGATTCATTTGTGTTAATGAATCATTTGAAGATGATTTTTGAAAAGCTTTTAAACCATTTTTGGTATTATTTATTTTCATAAAACACATGAAATTTAAAATCTTAAATATTTTGATTATACAGTTCATTCACAGTAAGTATATTAAAAATGTTATGCAACATATATCCTTTACAAATACTGTTCTATTTTTGTTTTATTTCCACTAATCAACCTACTTCAAGTATTTTATGTAAGTAGATTCATAAAGTGTCATTGTTTGGGTGGCTAGCCTATTTCATTTAGCATAATGTCATGATTTATCTTTATTGTAAACTTAGAAGATTTTCTCCTTTTTGAAATTGAATAACACTTCATTATTATTATATATCAAATTATATTTATCTATTTGTTTTATGAGGCAGATCTCGGTTGTATTCATATATTGGCTTTTATGAATAATGTTGCAGTAAATATGGATGTGCAAATAACTCTTCATTTGACCATGTACGTGAGGGATTTATATCTGTTCTACATTTTGTTTCATTGTTCTCGTTGTCTGACTTTATGTCTGTAGCAAACTACTGTGATTACTGTCTTGAAATCAGAAAATGTGATACCTCCAACATTATTTCTTTTTTCAAGATTGTTGTTCTCTTCATGGTACTTTGGCATTTCATATGAGTTTTTAACTTCTTTTTCTAAAAAATTTTACTTTGAGAATTTTAAAAAGATGGCATTGAATTTGTAGGAAACATATTTGGCAGAGGGAGCATCTTAAAAAATGGTAAGTCTTTTCGAATCTTTGACAGGAGCATTCTCAAGACATGGCATCATGGATGCCATCTATTTGACAGGATATCTCTGTGCTTTTTCCACTGTTATTTGTCATTTCTAGTTTTAACCAGTTTCAGGTCATAAATGAATTATCTGGTAATTGTTTAAGTGTTAAAAAACTCGCTCACAAAAATTTATTGCTGGCGTAAATACATTCTATCCAGGAGAATATTTGTTCGAGCTATCTGATAAGATTTTGTAGATGGAGTGCTATCTGACTGGTCTATCAAGGTATAGATTGTTATATAGTGCTTAAAGTTCCTGTTTGTCCCGTTAATATGTGTCTTGATTATATCCTTCTATGGGGGCTGGTTCCTTCATTTTTCAACAGCGCTCATGCTTCTCCTAGCTCTCCTCTCTCTGTCTGAGGGTTTGCGGTTTGACAACCTTTATTTTACACTAGTACACTACTACATACACATGCACACAGCACAAACACAGAGGCACGTATATAGAAAATGTAAAAATACAATTAGGTTTCAAAGTGAATGAACCCTTTTATTATTTTTTAATATCATTCTTGTATCTTTTGTAACAGGTTTGATTCTGAACAGTATATTTTGACTTTTTTTTTTGACTCAGAATATATTGTGCGCCTAATTTGACCTCCCCTTGCTCGTAATTTATAACATTTGCTGAAATGTCTTTTCTGGGATGTTGTCATCTCAATTAGATGTTCAAGGTGTTGCGCAGTATAGTGTATGTTTTTCTGTAGTTATTCGTATTCAACGTTATGTCTTTTGATTAGAAGTCTTACTCCCCATTAATATTTTCATAATTTTTCTTGGAAGAGATGACTTACTGGTTTGCCAATTTCTAGTTCAATTGCTATTTTTATTCGTTGTAGATTCATTGCCCTTTTTTTCTCTTTTTTTCCGTCTTTTTGTGTTGTTCATCTGATTTCTATAGTGCATGGTTTGATGCCTTTGGTGTAATTATTTTTAGTGTATTCTCTATAGGTTTTCGTTCTATGGTTATACCATGTTGACAACCCACAGTGTTTCTTAGAGTTAGCGAAAGCACCCTATATTGTTTTACAATGTATAACAACTGCAAACTATAGACACAAACAAAAACTTTTGCTCATTAAACGTCGTGCATTATCTATTGTTATTATGTGGATCACCAGTTCTATCTCGGTATAGTTGTATATCATTAACAGATGGTGTGGTTAGATTTTTCTGTTTTGTCATTCAGAATTTGGTAGATCATAAATAGAAAAACTGTCTTCCTGCAGATTATTGATAATACGAGTAATTTAATACGATAATATTAAGACATCATCCATAGTCTTTCCCAGAGTTATTTGATTTCATATAATTTGTGTTATTTTCTAGCATCTTTTTTTATTTTTAATACAAGGGGCTCCCTTTAAAATTTCTTGTGGGTAAGAATCCTTTTCAGTATGAATTATCTTGAGAGATGTTTATTTTTCTCCATTTAGAAGAGCGGTTTTGTCAAACATAGTTCTGCTTTAAAGTTTTCATTCTTTTAGCACTTTGACTATATCACCCAACTATTTTCTGACATGCATCTTTTCTGTTGATAAATCCACTAGTAATCTCTAGGAAGCATGCTTATAGATGACATCAATTTTCTCTTGCTGCTTTGAAGATTCTCCTGTTATATGACTTTAAAACTTTGCTTACATCCTGTCCTTTATGGGTCCTTTTGTGTTTTTCTTAGCTGAAGTATGTTGAGCTTCTCAATTTGTTTGTGTATTTCTTCTTACCTTTGAGAATTTCTAAGTCATTTCTTATTGTATGCCTCAGCTGAACAGTGTATGTTTTCTTCTGCTTCTATGTTTTGTTTATATTATCATTTTCCTGATTTCATTTAATGTTCAATATCATTCTAATTTCACCAATTAAGCATCATTCAGATGGTTATTTTTAATTTTTATGGTTAATTTTAATTTATACATCTCCAATCCTTTATGGTTGATTTCTTGTTATTTTGTTTCTTGGATGGGGATATGTTACCCTGAATTTTGTGAATATTGTAATCGTTGGTTGAGATTTGAGAATTAGCAAAATCAGCTCCATAAACTTCATCAAGTGGCTTTGTCCTGGGGACTCTGATAGCAATTCACCTTACTGGAGATTGAAGGAGCCTTAAAAATATTCTGAGAATGCATCTTCTGTGACTATATTTGTTTTCCATTTAAAGAAACTTTCCTACATTTCTTCTTAGGAGCCTGTCATCATATTCTATAACTATTCTCCATCTGTTGTAGTGAAATTTCAACCGACGTTGTAATAATCTTTTATCTTTGGTTTCAGCACACTCCGTCCTTCACTTAATATCATGATTCTTTTCTGAACTCTGTGTTATGGGAGACAGAAACCAGTCTTTGGAAGGGTTTCTAAAAGCTAGAAATATAGCAACATTTCCTTTCTTTGAGAAAGAAGCTGGGGTTTGGTAATATACTTCTATGCTGTATTAAGGAGGAGGAGAGGCCTTGGAGTGTCAGTATAAGAAATTTTGTTTCTTTTCTCTGTTGCTTTTGGTATTGTTCTCGCGTGATTTTCTGTGAACTCTTCTTTCCTTATTAGAATTTCACAAAGTCAATTTGGTAAGCATAATTTTTTATATTTATTTGTGTAAAAGAGAATTAGAGCCTACATATTGTATTGTGCCATCCTGCTAATGTGCTTAGGATAATTTTACATATAAATTTTGTAATATTTATTATTTGATTATGAAGGAAAGAAACAAGTGGGATAATTTGTTGTTTTTAAAATTTCTTTCAGCAATATCTTCTCATTCTACCCAACACTATTTGCCAGAGCAGCATTTAAAATTTCCTTTACCAAAAGTGATAAGAAGAAGATATGGAAGCTTCGGCCTTCAGAATATACAATTTAAAAATGACTGGGAAAGTGTGGGTGAGTGTAAGGAACAGAAAGGATATTACAATGAATGTAATCAATGTTTGACTACATATAGCAAAATCTTCCAGTCTAATGCATGTTTGAAAGTCTTCAGGAAAATGTTAAATCAAAATAGACATAAGGTGGGACATAGTGTAGAGAAATTTTTAAAATGTAATGAATGTGGGAAAGCCTGTAACCAATACTCACACATTACTCAACATAAAATAATTTTTAATACAAAAGACTATTACAAATTCAAAGAATGTGGCAAAGTCTTTAATCAGTGCTTTTACCTTACTAAACACAAGAGAGCTCATACTGGAGAGAAAGCACACAAATGTGAAGAATGTGGCAAAGTCTTTTACAGGTACTCAGCCCTTTTGATACATAAAGTAATTCATGAAAGAGAGAAACCCTACAAGTGTGCCGAGTGTGGCAAAAAGTTTAATCATATCTCAAGCCTCACTAAACACAAGAGAATTCATAGTGGAGAGAAATCCTACAAATGTGAAGAATGTGGCAAAATCTTTAATTGGTCTTCATGCTTTAAAAGACATAATATAATTCATACTGGAGAGAAACCACACCAATGTGATGAGTGTGGCAAAGCTTTTAACTGTTGCTCAGAACTTAAAAGATATAAGAGAATTCATAATGGAGAGAAACCTTACAAATGTGAAGAATGTGGAAAAGCTTTTAGCTGTTCCTCAAAACTTAAAACACATAAGAGAATTCATACTGGAGAGAAACCGTACAAATGTGAAGAATGTGGAAAAGCTTTTAGCTGTTCCTCAAAACTTAAAACACATAAGAGAATTCATACTGGAGAGAAACCGTACAAATGTGAAGAATGTGGCAAGGCTTTTAACTGTTCCTCAAAAGTGAAAATACATAGGAGAATTCATACTGGAGAGAAACCCTACAAATGTGAAGAATGTAGCAAAGCTTTTACCCAGAGCTCAACCCTTACTAAACATAAAAGAATTCATACTGGAGAGAAACCGTACAAATGTGAGGAATGTGGTAAATCCTTTAACTGGTCCTCAATTCTCATTGCACATAAGGTAATTCATACTGGAGAGAAACCATACAAATGTGAGGAATGTGGCAAAGCCTTTACCCAGAGCTCAACCCTTACTAAACATAAAAGAATTCATACTGGAGAGCAACTGTACAAATGTGAAGAATGTGGAAAAGCTTTTACCTGTTCCTCAAATCTTAAAATACATAAAAGAATTCATACTGGGGAGAAACCGTACAAATGTGAAGAATGTGGCAAAGCTTTTAACTGTTCCTCAAAAGTGAAAATACATAGGAGAATTCATACTGGAGAGAAACCATACAAATGTGAAGAATGTGGCAAAGCCTTTACCCAGAGCTCAACCCTTACTAAACATAAAAGAATTCATACTGGAGAGAAACCATACAAATGTGAGGAATGTGGTAAATCCTTTATGTGCTCCTCAGTCTTCATTGCGCATAAGGTAATTCATTCCTGAGAGAAACTGTACAAATGTTAAGAATGTGGAAAAGCCTTTACCCAGATCTTACACCTTATTAGACATACAATAATTCATACTGTATATAAACCATACAAATGTAAAGAGTGTGGCAAAGCTTTTAGCTATTCCTCAGACCTTAAAAGACATAAGAGAATTTGTACTGGAGAAAAACTGTAAAATGGGAAGAATGTGGCAAAGATTTTAGCTGTCCCTCAATACTTAAAAGACTTAAGAGAATTCATATTGGAGAGAACCCTACACATGTCAATGTGGTAAAGCCTTTAACCAATACTCACACTTTTCCATACATAGAATTCATACTGGAGAGAAGCCCTACAAATGAGAACAATTAGGGAAAGCTTTTTGTCTGCGTTCATACCCTAGAATGCAAAAAAGAATTTACACTGGAGAGAAACTTTTCAAACAAAAAGAATGTATTAATGCTTTACCTTATGCTCTAAGTTTCTATGCATGAGCTAATTTGACTGGAGAAAATCCTTACAAATGTGAACAATGTGGGTAAGTCTGTATCTAATACTCACATCTTTCTGTATATAAGATAATTCATATAGGAGAGAAACTTATGAATGTGAAGAATGTGACAAAAAGCTTTAACAGCTGATTAAATTTAACTAGGGTACCAGAAGGAAATCATAGAAAAATGAAATATGTGTCAAATGCTTTACCTGGTGCTTTTATGGTAGCATACATGAGACAATTCATACACGAACAGGATCCTACAGATGTTAATAAAGTGGCCTAGCCTTTAATAACCCATCACACATTGTTCAACACCAGTTATACTGAGTAACTGGTATAAATGTAACGAGCATCAAAACACCTTTCTGAACATAAAAATTTGAGAGTACAGTGGAGTATTTATACTAAGAAAAAATTACAACTATAAAGAGTGACATGATACCTTTACTTTTATCACAGATATTGTACACAAGAGAATTTGTAGTGGGGGTGGAATCCTCCATTTATTGCTCAAACTTTATTTAAATTAAGGGAATTTGGGTTGTTGAGACACTCTAGGAATGTAATGAATGAATTCAGAAAAACCTTTGGTCTCTAACATAGCTTTGAAAACACCAGAAGTTATATGAAAATATATTTTACTTATGTTATAATCTGAAAAAATAGTTAATTAAAAAATCATGTCTAAATAAATACCGGAGGACTCACAGTAGGAAGAACCTTAGTGCTATTACTTCTAGACTATTCTAAAGTAGAATTTTGGTTATAGAGAATGCAAAGTTAAATACTTTAATAATTGATGTATATGTTTAAAATCAGCAGGAGATTGACTTTTATGGAGAGTTATATTTAGAGTTTACTTTTCACATTAAAATTTTTATATTTTTTTGAAAATCGAATATCAAGGTAATTCAATTTTAATTACTTGATTCTATTCCAGCATTCGTAGTATTTTGTGAAAGAGGTGTTCAATCATTGCTGCATCAAAGATATGAAAGGTCTTTGTAAATTTTGTGGGCATCATTCATATGCTCTTACAATGTACACTAAACACTAAAATTTAAGATGCATGAATAAAATGGAGAGACTCTTTTTGATTAGCTTGTAAGTGCATTGCAGGTGATGTTGGCATTAATTGTACAGAGTGGTGTTTAATGTGTTGAGTGTTGTACATTGAATAAAGTGTTACATTGCCACCAACCTTAACCTGTCTCACCTTATTTATAGTTGTAGGTAACAGATGGGTAACAGTATATATGGATATCATGATGTAATGACATGTTTAGACCTTTTTCAATATGCTGTAAACTTCAAGTATTTGAAAACATCATTCATAGTTAATTATTATTCTTTGCATAGGTAAAATGCCATAAAAAGGCATATATTTCTGAGTCCTGAAGAGACAATTTACAAAAGTGCATCTTACATTTGTTTTGAACCTGTGAACTCTCTGGCCTGCAAACCATAAACATACTATTATTTGCTTTAAGGAGTGAAATAGAAATTATAATCACTCTAAGTATAGATTTTAGCTTCAAGAGGATTATGAAAAGGTAACTGTGTCTATGTTAGTGTGTATCTGGTTTCAGAAAAAATATATATATACATTGACAAAAACAGACAATTCCAAAAATGTTGATAATCTACTAGTAATGTAGAAGCCTCAAAAAATTCAAAAGTAAGTATATATTCTCTTTGTATTTCAAATTCATTTCTGTAAAACCTTATGGCTCCCGATTCAGAATCTGCCCATAAAAATTAAATGGTTTTCATTGTCATTGAGTTCCATGTTCTCTTTGGATCTGTCCAGAAGTGAAGTCATTTTTTCAAGGTTTTGTCCCTTCCACTCCTTCAACAAGAGCTACCAATAGGCCACACTGTGCTACTGACTGGCCACCTTCCTTCCCATTCACCTATAAGCAAACACACCACCTTCATTATCCTGGGGAAACCTGAATGCAGCCAGGGCTGCAGATTTGGGAAGATGGAGCTAGGTCATAAGCTCCTTTTTCTTATAATTTCTGTGTCCCTAGACAAGTATTTTGTGTTTCAGGGTTCCAGAGCCTCCCACCATTCACAGTGGGGATTATGCTAGCATGTATTTCCTAGCAATTATTCAGGTATAACTGAGATAAAACTTATAACACTCATAATGTGGTGTCACATGTAGATAATGCCTGAATTTAGAGATGGAAGACAGCATAGAATACACCTCAGACAGGACTGGGCCCAGCTGTGTGATCTGGGGAAAGTCCTTTCCTTTCTGGGCCTCATTTTTCATTCTGCACAAGAAAGAAATTTAAATTAAATGAAATCCAAACATTGTCATCCTCTGACATCAAACGTTCCAACGTCCTCCCATTATATTTAGAATCAGATCCATGTGCCTCATCTCAGCCTGTGTGCTGTGCAGCCTCCACAAAGGCTCACAGCAATCTGTGGTTAATGAATCACTTCTGACTAAGACAACGCCACACAAATGATTAGCTATTACTTCTGTGTTACTTCAGGCTGCTATAGCAAAGAACCATAGACTGTGCAGTTTATAAACAACAGAGTTTAACTGCACACAGTTCTGGTGACCAAATGTTCAACATCTGGGTTTCAACCTGGCTGGGCTCTGGTGAGGACTCTCCTCTTAGTTGCAGACTTCATCTCCTCTTAGTTGCAGGTTTTATACTCACCTGGCAGAGAGAGGAGAAGAGAGCTCTCTGTGGTTTCTTGTAGAAAGCTAGTAAACCCAAGCATGAGGGCTCCACCCTTGGACATAATAATTTACCAGTGGACTCATCTCCTAATTAGGTCGCACTGGGGAGAAGGAGTTTAACATATCCATTTTGGAGGACAGCCATTGTGAATTCCAGAAATTGATTATGAACAAAGCTACTAATATCCATCTTATTTCCTTTCTCATATGTTCTATCCATTAACCTTTCCCTCTCTCGAGTGTATCCTTAAAGTTGGTGAAGCAAGCTCTAGTGATATGAGCTGCTTTTTGTAGATGCTGAATGGCAAAGAACTGAGGGAGTGAAACTAAAAGAACCAAAAGAAAATCAGGCTCTCAGTCTACACGGATTCCTCCCAATCCCCACATGTATGAGTTTGAAGCTGACTCTCTTCACAATCCAACTTCATTGAACCGAGCCCCAGACTCTTGGAGACCTGAGCAGAAGTCACCGCTAAGCTGTGCCCAAATTTAGTAAACACAAATATAAGTATTAGGTATTTGTGTGTAAAGTTGTAATTATGGGCAGTTTTTCATAAAGAGAAGGGCATCCTCTCATCTGCCAGCCCCGAGGATTCTTCCTTTGCTTCTCTCCCCAGCTGCCTCTGGCCACACTGTCCTTTTTTCTTTTTTTACCTTCTCTGCAAAAGTCACAATCACCAGTGACTGTCTACTCCCATAGTGGCATGTTCTGATACACAAGTTTTACACTTGTGCAGTTCAGAATTTGTCATTCTGGTCACAGCATTTCACTCGAGTGATGATTTTAGATCCACCAATGACCCATAGCCCTCCTGCCGTCTCATGCTTTATTGTCACTATAGCACTTATTCTCTTTTTTCACATCTACTTGCTTTAGTGATTTTGTCCAGCTGTGCTCAGACTATGGGCTCTTTGGGGTAGACCACATGCTTGGACCACCAGGGCACCTGGCACAAGGTGAGTGCTCAGGGTGGTGTTGCTGAGTGAATTAATGTGAGGATCTCAAAGCTGCCTTGCTGATTTTGACCACATCGTTAAGTTGGCATCATTGGTAAGACAGGAGGTTCGAGTTGGGTCTGAGAGAAGGAACCGACGGAATGACCTTGGCCTGAGTCTCCCCTGGCTCCAGCTGAAAAGAGAGATGAAGCTTCAGTTTTGCAGGGCATAAGATTCTAGGCTGGCATTGTTTTGTTTCAAAAGAGTGAGAATTGGCCCCAGTCTCTCCTGTTGCTAAAGTCTCAATTAGAGAAGGTCTGATGTTATTCGAATTGGCTTCCCTTGTATGTTACTTGCTTCTTTGTCTTACAGTTTAGAAGGGCCTCTTTATTGATACTTTGGTCAGTCTTATGACTGCAGTCGGCGTCTTCCTGTTGCTA